TGAGAGCCAGGGGCAGGATTCAAACCCAAACCCCTGACAGTATGAGGCGTCCATGTTACACACTGAGAGCCAGGGGCAGGATTCAAACCCAAACCCCTGACAGTATGAGGCGTCCATGTTACACACTGAGAGCCAGGTATGTACATATAAGGAAATACAGACATTGGCAAATACTCTCAAAATACTGTATATCATACTAACAAACACTTACAGTATATATCATAAATACAAATCAACTAGAATTGCTAATATATATTTTTTTCCATTAATATAAATGAGAAAGTGACAGTTCAGACCATCAAGATAATACCTCACATTTACATTTATCATATTTATCAGATGCTTTTATCCAAAGTGACATAAGTGAGACAAATACTGTAGCACTTTGATCATGGTTCAAATGAACAACAGCCATGAATGTGTGTTTCATACCAGCTGATTCTTACTGTCACACTGTAATGTGACAGTGCTGCATGTCATTTAAATACAGCTGACATCACTGTAAGATGCTCCACTCTGGTGATTATCCCTCCCCATCACTGCAGTATCTGTGTGTCCCTCACAGCTCTCACCCTGAGCAGCAGCTCCCCACATGTAGAGGAGCCTCTCTGTGTTGCTGCCCCCTACTGGACAAGGAACAGATAAGTATTAACATCTGCTACTTGATTCATCAGTTCAGTTCAGCTTCTGAGGCACTAACATCTTCCTTAGCATTTCAGGGAGTTTAGTGTGTTAATGTTACTGCTACAGGAACAGAAAATGAACCAGACCGATAGATTAATCTGGGAAACCTCTTTAGTTCACTTACATCCGGTTTATAAATTGAAGCCAAATTAGCTGCATGTATGATGTTGGAATTGTGGCTCTATACAGTGTCAAAGGAAACATACGACACATATGAAGCATCTCAGAGACTAAATGTATCACAGCTCATGTTAGAGCAGATTGCCCAAACTCACCTCTCTGTGCTTCAGGGCGACTGAGCTGTAGACCACATCGCTGGCTGGGGTTACAGCAGGTCGGTGTGAAGAACATCTAGAGGAC